GTAATAATGCGGCGGGTGACGCGTCTGAAGGTCAATCTGTTGCGTGCGAAAGAAAAATTTGAATTTCGCCTTCTTTCTCCTTGCTCGGCGTCGGCACCATGGCCGTGGAGTAGACTAGCAGCTAAGATTTATGGATGCGATCATATGAACGCGTAATCGCTTTCGAGTATAGTCATCTGACAGCTTTCGCAGCGCCTTCTATGACTGGGAACCAAATTATCAACCCACGGCCGCTACAGATTTTGCTTCCGTACTTTTCGATCATCGCCTACGGCTGTGGGGATGATTTTCTCACCAGTAAAGTGGAGTGATGTTGGTTCGTAATATGAAACCGTTCCATTTTGTCACTACAGTTTAACAGGTCGGTCCTTCGGTATGTCTGTTTTGAACCGTACTCGCTATTTTGCGCAGTTTTTATCAGCGCTTCCCACTAAATCTCCTCAGCTAATCCATCCGTCAAAGCGGCGCGTACACATTTCCGACCTTTATTTATTATTATTTCAGAAATGTCTGTCAGTCCTCCGCAACTCCCGGCGCTACCCGCGGAAAACTGGCCCAAAAGATTTCGGGAAAATATAACAATATGTCTAACCTCCGCTCTGTCATCCTCGGTACATATATTGGGAACAGAGGGGTGACGGATGCTGTCTGCCAGCATCATTGGCGGCAACAGTCAGGCCCGTCGTCCCCGGTAGCATCACATCACGCTGGGGGAATGTTATTTGACCTAGAAAGATTATTTTTGGACCTGAAACCTTCCGTGTACCTTACATTTTCCGCGTACTTGCCCACACCCCTTGGGGCGCGCTGGTCTGTTTCGTTTTACTGCCGGGATAAAATTTTAACTTCTCGGAAAAGACGGCATCGATGGAGACGCATCGTCATCAGCATCATCATCATCTTCATCTTCATCGCCGCCGGTCCGTTTCGTACGCACCGCACTATGAACACCGAAACAACTCTTTCATCGCAGTAGGCACGCACCTTGTCAGAAAAAGCGACGTAAAACATCCGAAACAAACCGAACGGGAGTGGAAGATCAGAGTAGGCCTAGATCAGTAGTAGTCGAGCCGCAAGCGCCGCCTATGTTGATGCACGTCCGATGAGATCGACACAAAATGGAGTAGTTTTTAGCTGAAAATTGCTAAAACGTAGTCCTAATGAACAAATACCATAAACGAACGATAACCCAAAAGGGTAGAACTATTCCACAAATGGTTTTGGGTGATACCTCGAACACGTCGCTAAGCAATGTTTTATAGCTTTTATTAGGAACCTCCCGACCATACAAAAACAATAGAATCTTTTGTTACAATGCAATAAAATCTATTGTAGCAACCATACATTTTATTGTCAAAAACAATAAATATACAATTATGTACTATAGAATCTATTGTTAACGAGACTTTTACAAAAAAAGGGGTTGTTAGTTATCTTAACAATAAAAAATCATTTTTTTTCTAAAACAAATATGATCACATTACAACTAATTTTATAGGTTTTTAGTTGGTTACAATTTGATCACATGACAGGGTGTATACTACCTGCAAAAAACTGGAAAATCAGGGAATCTCAACATCTCCAGCTTGGAGCAATTTTAAAAGGTTTTCGAACTTGTGAAAATATTAATATCCCAAATTAAGAATGTTCAATATCCTCTCTTCCGTAGGCCATACTTAAGCACCTTGCCGAAGGTGGGAGAGCTTAATCTCATGCGCACTTTTCAATTGCGTGATGTACTTTGATCGTTTTTCGTTCAATAATTATCAAAAAATATTATATTGCAGTGGGTAGGTATCATACATAATTTATGTATTGTTTCATTTTCGAAAAGGGTGAATACTTTCGTTATGGCTATGTGTCCTGTTATGTGTTCGGTTGTGGCATTTGGGAATACCATTTACCATGACAGAGTGCATTAGGATGGAGTCAAGTGGCCCTGATAGAAGTACTGGCTCTAAACAAAATATACTGTAGATAGGAAACTAATCTCGGATTGAAGCATTTTATCACAGAAAAATTTTACTTATGACGGACAAACACAAGATAAATTTTGCTGATCAATGTAGAGAGGTAGCATAATAAGGAAAAAGAGGGAAATATTACTTTTAGGCTGATCTCGTGGGAAGAATAGGATGCGGGAGGTTGAAGTTGAGTACTTGGCACTGATGAAGTCTACAAGTAGTAGACGAAATACGCATATATGTCAAAAGATAAGCAATTATAACGGAATTTAAAGGAAATAAACCAACACACTCAAAGCTCTTCATCTCACAAATTTTTTTTTTAGATGGTGAACTCTCATTTTTACGCCCGTCACCCTGCTTATGCCCTCGATCACATTTCATAAGGGAACTGTAAAAGAGAAAGAGATATCGCAAGAAATTCTATCTATTATACCTGTTTTCTAAGACATGGAGTGGGAGTTGTTCAACCAACGACCCGATGAGACAGCTTTACATTCAAATTCAAATCGCTGTCCATGAGTTTTTCCTTGATTTCGTTGAACTTCGAGGAAATTCTTTAAATTTTCCTGATGTTCTTTGAACGTCTCTGAGTTTGGCTTTTTTTTTGACGTAGGACTACGTCTGTGACTTCTATATGGGGGTACACTTTGTGAAAACCAGAAATGGAACATGTAACAAAATTATGAAAGATTTTGAACATTAATAACTCAGCTGCCCCTGGACCAATTTCAATAATTTTATCACCAATCGATCAGAAATATTTCTACGCATCAAAAGCAATGTTTCCGACTGATGATTTTCAACAATTTTGAAGAAACTATTGAAAAAGTGGTAATTGTTCAATGTACAAATTAAAAAGCGACAGACGCACTCTGTGTGGTTTCGGAGGTTAAATCATCACCAACAAGCTTATTACAGTAATAAGTTGAAATAGCATTTATCTGTGCCTGTTTGTCCATAATCAGAACCACATGCCCCCAACGACCACACAAAATGCTCTCCAGAGTTGTAATCTTGTAACCAAACTTGGAAACAGGGCTGCAAGTGATTTTGATCGATTTTCTTCATCTTTCGTTAATAACTCGTTAATTGCCCGTTGCTTTCAAGGTATTGACATTGGCAAACTACGCAAAAGGAGAGTGTCGCTACTTGATAGAAAACTATTCATAATGGGAGGAGTCTGTGTAACTTACTGGCGTGTGCAAAAAGGAAGGCAATCAAAATTTCATTTTGTGATTGTTTCCCAAACACAGACATCATATTGAAACACCATCGTGATTATGCATTGTAGCATTCTCTGTAAAATCTGATTCGTACAGTGAGTGCTTCAGTGTTTATACTCCGCGTGGGATAGAGTCAATATTCGAAGTGAAACAAGAGTTTATTGAGAAATTCTGTAAAAATCTTCAAAATGTCTCAACACATGGCTGCGAAACATCTCCGCGATTGGAGACAAAATTATTGAAATTGGTCCAGGGGCAACTGAGTTATTAACGTTCAAAATCTTTCATAGTTATGTTACATGTTCCATTTTCGGTTTTCACAAAGTGTACCCCCATATAGAAATCACAGACGTAATTCTACGTCAAAAAAATCATCATGCAGCAAACCAAAATCATCTGGCATTAAACCAAAATCACATCTTTCACTTTATTTGTAATATCTTGGCAGATACGCCGTTGTATCAAGTTAAAACTGATTGATTTTTCCTTGTCTATTTTTCCCTGAAAGCTAGTAAAAATATCTAGAAAAATGTTATAAAGACATGAACGGATGAATAGAATACGAAATTCAAACTTTAAAATCTTTCAAAATATTCCAAAGCCCAGAATATTCTATTATGTTTTAAAAAGCAGTTTCTTGTTTTTTAAAAAATCCCGACACGTTTCTGTAAGGCTTTTTAACAAGAAAATTTCTCCAAGTCTGTATACAATACAAATCTTGGAATATTGAAAATTTAAATAAGTTCCAGCAGCTTGAAGATTGTTTTTCTAGAGCTCAAAATCTTAGATCAATCTTCAGTACCGAATATTTGGATTTCGTGACCAAAGCAGTCCAATAACTTTCGATCTAAGGGCTCTGCAACTCAAGCAAATAAATTAGGAGACTTAGAATGTTTGAACTTGATGCTTGAACATTTTTCAAAATTCTTCAACTTATAATAAAATTAAATTTATTTCGTTGCTGATTTGTGTTGGGCAGTTTTCATAATATGCATAACAGACATATACTACACTCAAATATAAATTAAATCAAAAATGCTTAAAAACTAAGCATTTTCCCGCTTTGCCTTATTGAGTCAGAGCCAAGATTAGTTTGCCAGTAATCATGCATGAATAAAATCGAAATAATCATGCAATGCTTACTTTTTAATGTTGCAGTGATTAAATCGCAAATAATAGCTAATGACTAATATTTAATCATTTCTTGATTAAATTTCAAGATTTCATTTAGAAATTCAGTTTTAATCATTTTACATTGAATTTGTTGCTGTGCAATACTGCTCGTTCGAATCATGTCGGAAGCTGATTCATGTGATGTTCATAACCAGAACTGTGTTTTCTCTTTATATATCTATTTTTAATACCTTTTTACGTTGTTACTAAAAAACTCATCAATCAATTTATTTATATGTTTAAGTTTTAAGTTCTTGTATGTATTTGATATTGGTGATGCGATTATCTGTTAACAATCTCAAGTTTTATTTTTGTGCGTTTTCTCTCTCTTTTTGATTTTAGTAAAGAAAATATAATTGTCTCTCTTGAGAGCTGTTCGTATACGCTGTATACCATTCTGAAGTTCTTAAACAGAACTGTGTTTTCTCTTTGTATATCTATTTTTAAAACCTTTTAATGTTGTTTTCTCCTCTGAATTATAGTACTAGGTAGTTTCAATTCAAAGGAGAAAACAACGTAAAAAGTTGTACAATTATTCTACTAAAATGCTCATCAATTAATTTAAATCTGTTTTTAAGTTTTAAGTTCTTGTATGTGTTTGATTTTGGTGATGCGATTATCTGTTTACAATCTAAATTTTTATTTTTGTGCGTTGTTTTCTCTCTTTTTGATTTCAGTAATGAAGATTTAATTGTCTCTCTTGAGAGCTGTTCGTATACGCTCTACCATTCTGTTAACGGTAGCAATTCGGCTGAATTTATACGCCTGATAAACAAGTATATCAAAAAACTCAAAAACTTTTTTCGCTTTATGTGGCGTCGGGAAATTGTACGTTTTATACGTCTTATACAATATATCATACGCTTTAAAAAAGTTGTCCCCGCAATCAATGCTTTTTCCTTCCACGATGACAAAATAATTCCCAATTGCGAAAGCTAGTGCATTGCAATAAATGAACGGACTTGGCATCATGAAATCAATATCATGCTCTTCATCCCGTTTCCATCGGATGAAAACACAAGCATAGTCTTCTAGAGGCGGTAACCCCGATGGATCAGCTTGGACTGTGCGCCCTTGTTGAGATAATTGTTTCATCAGCTTTAATAGAGCACGTACTCCACCTAGAATTATAAAAGATATATATTAAACGGGGTCAGCAGGTATATATATACAAAATAAGCTTGTAACGCTGTTCCAAAATAAAGTCATTTTTCGAAACGTACGTTCTGAAAACGGCATTGTATTAAATAGTGGTTCAGCTTTCATGGCGATTGACACAAGAATCTTCTATGTGATCGCAAACGACTGACGATCTTTATACATAAAGTGCTTTGTATGATTTTTGTTTCAAAAAGATACGTTAACGATTTACTATCATTGAAAAAGGCGAATGAGCGGAAATGGTAGCTTTGTTGTTGCCGCTCATTTTTTTTTTTGATCATGAATGGAAAATAGTAGGGGGTTATCCGGGGCAAACTGGGTCAGTTCCGTTTTCAAGATAATGATGTATGAATTACAGTTACTTTTTTTTTGGCTTCAATAATGACAATGCGCTAGTATCCTACAGTTTTAAGATATTTCATTTCTGCATGTAATTTTGCATGAAAACTTTGAGACGAAAATTTTCCATTTCTTATTCGATACACGAAGTATGCAAAAAGCGTTACTGACATAATAAGAGTTGAATTCAGCAGAACAATGCTTTGTTGCAAAACTATAGCAACACCTTCTTAAGTGACCCGCTTTGCTGCAAGTAACCCCTATCAAGAACTAGCCACATCGTAAAAAATAGCTCTGTTCTCGTTCCTACAGAATTTACAGTAGAGTACAGGTTTTGCTCTGTCGATTCTGCCGGTATGGGAACAGAGATGCGGATAGTATTAAAAAAAGACTCACAACAAGCGACATCATCATATTCCGTGTTTAGCATGGAACATAATGGCACAATGTTTTCAAAAGTGATGACCGTTTCTCCCGCTGGATTCAAGTGGTTGTATTCATCCAGAATCTGAAATAAAGAAAACTGCATTTAGCAAAAACTTTCAATCATATAATTTCGTTCAACGCATTACTGGCCCATGTTACTTTAAAACATATTCACGTTTGTTAAAAAAAAATCAGTATTTTTCAACGTTGACTTTTGAAAATAAACTGAATAATTTTTGTTCTGATGACAGTGTTTTAAACTTCGTTAACAAATACAATACTATGAATAAAGATAAAGATGTTAAAAAATATAATAAGACAGTATTGCGTGAAACGGCAGCTTTGTATATATTTTTTAAAATCACCAAATCTCCTTGGAACCCTGCCAGCAACGGAAATTCAGTCATTATTAATGTTGATGAGTCTTCCATTTTGCGCAGGGCGTTGCGATATGGGTAGGTTATTTGATATAGTTGAAAAACACGTTGCCGGTATGCTTCGTCATCAGTGAAAGCTTCGAGTTCTGTTAGGGCGTCTACAATCTCCTGAGTGATTTCCTGGACTGCAGGGCGTTTGCGGGATAATTTTGCTGGAGATTTGTTCTGCTCATTTCTTACCCAGTTGTAGATCATCCCAGTATGAGAACCAGACTGGTCTCCATTATGTTCCCAGTACCAGTCAGCCTAAAACCAATCAAATTTATGCAATTTATTGTTTATATTTTATTTACAAGAAATGTTACCTCCGCGGGTTTGCCATTTACATCGCTCTTAAGGCAATCATAGGCGTTCACTAAACAGATAGCTAATTTTTGTTTTGTTGCACTTTTGATTGTTCTGGGGAAGATAAAAATAGTAATGCACTATGAGTCAAAAAATAAATAAATGAATGGTAAAACGGTAAAATACTATGAGTCAACTCATGATTTCAAATTTAATAATTTCATTAAAAGTAAAAAAATAATCATTTCAAGTGTTATCGCACCGGTCCAATTTTCATTACGGTTACCCAGGGCGACATGGGTCACTTCCACGACGTATGAATTTCAGTTGCATATATTTTTTATTCAACTAGGACAATAGAATACACATATATTACACAGTTTATGCATTTCGTAATACTTGCTTGCATTTTACATAAATGTACTTGCTACGATTCTGAGCAAATATTGGTTTGGGCCTGTTCATAAACTACGTAGACAGTTTTTTTTGGGATTCTTGAGCCCCCCTCCCCCTGCGTAGACAAATTGTCCATACACAATTTTTGAAATTTGTATGGACCGTGGACAATTGCCAACCCCCCCCCCCCCTATACTGTCTACGTAGTTTATGAACAGCCCCTTTGATATTATGCGGAGCCAGGCATGGCAAATCATTTACATTCATTTCGTGCATTCATTTGCGTCTAACTTTTTTCATCAACAGAAATCCGTAAAACGATGTATGAAGCTTTTGTAGGTTTTGATAATAGCTTCAACTTTTGTCAATATTTCAAATCTGTATCTCTTATGCATAATGAACTAGAGAGGGCAGAACTTGTTATTGTTTTTCAGTGAATGTAATTTACATTCACTGAAAAACAATGGTGGGTTCTGTTCGCTCTGGTTCATCATGCATAAAAGATACGGATTTGAGTATTTTACAAAAATTGTAGCTAATCTCAATACCTACAAAAACTTCATACATAATTTTACAGAATTTTGTTGATGAAAAAAGTTAGAGGCAAATGAATGTAAATGAATGCACAAAATGAATGTAAATGATTTGCTTCTAAACTACAACAAAACCTTCTTGTTCTTACGTGACCCAATTTTCCCCAGGTAACCCAAATATCTAGCTTGAGCTTTTGAAAGGATGTAAAAGCATTGATGGATGCCTGGATCTACCAACGTTTTGAAGTAGAACATAACAAAGCTCGGTTTATCGCGTAATATTAAAAGTAAGCTAGTACGTTCAGAATACAGAGTTCTCGATTAATTTTAGAATAGGTCGTCCTATCTTCATTTGTCGATCAAATAATCGATTAACTTTATTCGCTTTCTACCGTGAGCTGAGCGATGGATTTGCAATACTGATACATGCAATCAACAGTTCAAAGTTTGAGCTTTTGATTGCATGTGTCAATACTGCAAATCCATCGCTCAGGTTGCGGTATAAACCGAATAAATTTAATCGATTCTTTGACCGAAAAATGGAGATAGGACGTATTCTAAAATCAATCTAGAGTTACAACATGTTATAGTGCTATCTTGATGGTGGTTTCTGTGCTGCAATTATTTGACAACCGTTATAACATTTTATAACACAGCAGTCTGGCCAGCGTTCTACAATGTTATCAAAATGATTCGAGAGATGTGTCGTAATTTATATATAGAGTCTAATATGAACGTCGGTTTCGTACAAACCAATCCCACCAAGGTGGGAATTCTTTAAACAGGCCTGATAGGTCTAGAAACTTTAAACAATTATATAAAATTTAATTTTAACTAGAGTTGAAAAGACGCATCTGTGTCACTTGAAAAATTCATACATGTAAACCACACAAGTACAATAAATAAAGATCATTTAAAGTAAAAAGTTAAAAAGTACGTCGGTTTCGTCGATATCATGAATCGATCAATGCTTATAAGTCTTTTTGAAAACTCAAGCTAGATAGATACTGCATGTGTAACAAAAATAAATAATGTGTCTAATTAGTGTGATCATGCAAAATCTTTCACACTGATGACCACATGAATGATTACTTTTAATTCTTACAATCCTTTGTTTATCGCCGTAGCAAACAATTCTGCACATAGTATTCTGCAAATCAAATTTTTCTCATTACGGTCCAAACATGTTCCCTGTGCCAATTTTCCATACAGCAATCGTTGACAGGTCGGAGCACGTTGTAGGATTTCAATAATTTTCTGTTCGTTGATGAAAATTTCGTTATCGTTGTGACAGTTTTCTGACGTAGGTTCAACCTTAAATAATGAACTCGTTGAAGTATGATAAATGTAATTGAAAATTAAGATTACCTTATTTGGCAAGATTTCCTGCTCTTGGAGTTGTTTTTGTGCCCGTTCAATCCGTAACCATGCACCGAGTTTCAGTTTTAACTGTATCATCACAATTTCTTGAGTCAGCACGAGGAAAATGGGGACTGTATTTATGTCATGCTCTGTAAAAAACAAGAATAGATCATTAATTCAATATTAATCATATCGACCCTAGTATCGACCCCAAATAACAAAACAAAATCCCAGGTAACATGCGATATAATGTGCAAATCATAAGATTATTAGGAGATTAGATAAAAAGTGAAGTATCGCAGTTTAAATTAATTGTGAATATATAATTGAAATAGATAAAACTAACTTTTATAATAAAACAAATAAGGATTATATTAAAAAAGTATCCCTCCCTCGCCAAAGAATTTCTTTGACCTGACGGAAACACACATCAAAATTTTTTAGATTGTTTATGTTGTTGGATACGTTTTTGTATATAGGGTCAGGTGCTTATTGACTAATTTTTATTCTTGATGAATCATGCCAATTACTGAATTAAAAATTACACTTACACATTACTGCATGGTTCTGAAAAATAGAACATTTTTAGGCCTCTTGAAACAACATGGGAGAAAGTGTGTCAGTGCATGAAAAAAATATATTTTGTTTGAGTATTGATTATTTTAGTTTATAGAAAGCTAGTTGAGTGTTTGCTGCATATAAAAAGTGAGGTTTTCAATAGTCAAGGTGCCATTTTATTTTATGTCAGATTTACGGTATGAACTTGTTGGTATTGTTGAAACAACGCCCAACTTTTTTTACTTTTGAAAATTGAAACTTGTATCCGCTGGTTTACAAATTTATTCACTCTTTAGTTTTCCGTAAGAATTATTTTGTTTCCCAGGGATATCCCAAAATTGTTATTTGAGTTGCATGACAACAACCAGAGGAGTCTGAAAACGGAGTTAACTAATGAACTCAAATTTATTGTTTCCCCGCACCCCGCTTACGTCCAATGACTGCCACCAATACGCAGCGCAAAATACTAGATAGGAATACAATTTGCATTGTTTTAATTTTTGATTTACTCACCTAAACTTTTATTTAAAATCATCGTAATATTGAAGCGCAATGAAGGAATCATTTGTGGACGACACATCCCACAAATTATACGTTTTTCTTTTATAAACAAGATCTTCTACCAGTAGAAGATGTTCTGCTGAGGGCTGTACTCGAAAACTGTTAAATTTTTCTTCAAAGCAGATCGATATGAGGCGTTCAACAACAAAATAAAACGTATCATTTACATAGTATATATTTTGTATCCGTGCAAACTGTTGTTTATCGGTGGTTTTATCGTCGTATTTAATAACCACTTCGTTGCGAAAGTGTATTCCATCTATTTTTACATGCTTGACAAGGCAAAGATTAGCTGGGAAGGCTTCTAATAATTCATTGTCTGGCATATTCTCTTTAGCTACGACAGCATCTGATATTATATCAACTCGTTGGAAAAAATCTCGATTTGCTATTGCCGTTACCTGTTTTAAATTCAAACGCGTTGCTAAACTATAGGGAACGTTTTTAAAGTTTTGGGCGGTTTTCATTTGATTTTTTGGCAATTTGTTAAGGGCTTCGAATCGCATGCAGCTAAATTCATTGGTCACTGATGTAGCTTTAACATTGTGTGCATAATGTGCCAAATGATGCATCTTGTTTATCGGTGATGAGTGGGGAAACCATTTCTTAAACTGAACATGGAGATTTTGCACATTTAGATCCATTTCTTCCACCATTTTCTTTGTGAGCATACTAGAAAACGACCAATAGCATATTCTTTGCAGAATATTAACAATATCCAGAAGTGGGTGATTATTAGGGATTAAACCGTCTAATAAAAATGGAAACGAGCGTAGCAAAAGCCATGTTTGTGCTGCTGTTTGTTTGATTTTATTTCCTGTTACGGACAGTTTTTTCAATGTGAAATTGGATGATGGTTTATCCTTCACTTCTACAGTTCCGTACGCAAAATTGTTGATGCGATCATTCAACACATCAGTAGTGAAATATTTGTTTTCTTTTATGTACACTTTTAAGATAAGTTTCAAGATTTGTTGTACAACTCCTTCCAGCAGATCATGCATGGGATCGAATCCCAGGTTTGTAGCAACTTTGAAATAATTCAGCTGTTCCAACGCACATGGCCCAGCCACACCTCGTTCACTGATGACCTGTATTCGCAAAAAAAAAGTCAGTATTAAATGCAAATCATGCCAAAAATCACATCGAAAAAGCTAAACAATCATGTTGAACAACAAAATCAAGGACAACTTTTATTATATTATTGTACGTCCAAGTCCAAGTCCAGGTCCAGGTCCAAGTTCAGGTCAATGTCTATGTCCAAGTTCAAGTTCAAGCAACCATTAATCGAATGAGCTATCTTTCTGGAACTTTCATTTCAATTAGGCTAGATAATCTTAATTCTTTTTTTGTTAAAATGGAAGGTCAATAGCATTCTAATTATATTTTTCGTGTTTATCCATGCATAAAAATTCAACCCATTGCTAAAACAATGGTTGTGATCTATCGGTTAATCATTGATGATATCCGCGATCAGATTTCGACTATTAGACGATTGGTACATAATCCTTATCCCTTCCACGGCCACAACAGGGTGAGTGATGAGGATTATGTACCATCCGTCTGTTTCATGCTACGTAATACATTTTCACTTAAATAAATTATACCTGACCGTGTCGTCTTCTACGAATTGCTCTTGAATTCAGTTGTCCTTGGTTATTCTCTGCTTCTAACTTTTTTATTCGATTGACGTTTTCCACATCTCGTTGGTGTGACTGCACGGATCTTTGTTCGAAAAGGGCACCGATGAATCCATTCTTCATATCATTTCTGGTTATATAACACTGTCGACAAAAGTAGGAGGCACTCGGACCAAGAAGCCCAAAAAGTTCATGTGCAGCCAACGTGTCGCCAGCAAAACTGCACAGTACTGCTCTCAATGTAAATGTGGTTATACCAAATTTCATTACTACACCTTCATCGGATTCCAACCGCTTCAAATCTTCCAATAAAGGTCGTAAAACTTTGTCAAATCCATGTTTTTTTAGGATTACAGCATTTATGGACATTACTAAGTAGCTGGTATTGTATGAAGAATTTCTACATTGCTCAAAATTTTGGATTTTTATATAGAATTGGGTTATCTTATGCTTCCCTGATCTTGGGCTCAAATTGTTGACGATTTCTATATCATCAGCGTTCAATGTAAGACGCAATGCTGTCGGATATTTTCGAAAGTATGGATTATGTTTATAAGACGAACCATCTTTGTACGAGTTAAATGACCCATCCGGAGAACTAGTCTCTTTTTCAACAATATCCATAGCCTCTGGGTTTCTCATAACTAACGACAAAATTTCAAGCACGGAAATATACTGGAACGTCTCCCTGATGTTTCTAACTGAGTTCTTAAAAACAAATCCTTCGTTTGTGTAAACCTTCCTTACAGTTTTGTTCGACTTAGATTCCAAAACAACCTCAATTGGTTCAGGAATTTTTGTGTTCGATTGTATGTACAAATGTGCGATCTGTGTTCGCATATCTTTTACATCCTTGAACACGTTGCCGGCTGTAAAATCATTTATGAGACGTACAATTTCCTCCGTAGAACAAGTGTTTTTTTGTTTTTCGACTATATCTTTAACTTTGCTCCAAAGATAACTCTCAACCTTAGAAATCAGTTGTTGTGTGCAAGTCATTACGTTTTGAATGTATGATTCAGGGATAGCAACATTGCAGCGCAACGTAGATATATATTCGCTCGCATGTCCAGAAATGTTGTCAATTGTTGGTGGTGATTTGAAAATAACCATATTTTCAATCCCAAGGAGACTTTCGAAGAAATCGGGTTGTTTTTCAATATTTTGGAAGATATTTTCAGCAGTATGATTATAACTATCTTCCACTTGGCACAGAGGATTGGGATGTTTGGTGAGTAAATGTTTTTGAAAGTTTTGATACTTCGTATATTGAGCATTACAACGATGTCCATCCGTTCCAAGCTCTTTGCACGTAAAAGGCGTTGCATTACCCACCGATGATTTCAAATTATGTGCCACAAGAAAATGATTTTTCAGCATCTTCACATCACCAGAGATTACATTATTATCAGCATCGCACATAAAACAGGTATAGCCTAGGGATAAGAAGCGCGAGATTCTGGTAAAATAGATATTAAATAAGAAATCCAGTGTACGAATGGTCCAAAGGGAAAGATGACGAAATTTAGTTGTTAACATTCAACATAGGGTAGGGTGAGGCAGTATGGGTCACGGAGCATTATAGGCCAGTGATGTGCTCTGTGTAATGTTTGAAAATTGAAGGTAAAATCTAGTGTTCACATAATTTAGTAAAAAAAAAATATTGAGTCCTAGACCCGACCGTAATATGCCGTAGAACGAAGTGATTGGTCGATTGTGGCCCTTAAATAAGATCACTCTTGAAGAAATACAAATTTTACACTGAGCATAGCGTAGTGTTAGAATGTCAATTGAATCTTAAATTAACGGTTCTGGTGCATAGAGGTTGACGACAGTCACGCCATCTCCTCTTCGCTTCCACCCACCCTTGTCACTGGGCACTCCGAGGCAGGTTCATTCACCACTGCTGTTTGCCGGACGTCTGTTTCTCACCCTCCTCCCCAACCACTCACTCCACGCTTCTGGAATCGATTTCCCGCAAGCTTTAGATATCATTCATCGTATCAATCATCCATTAAAATATGGAAATCCGGACAACTTCCGGATTTTTTTTTTCCTCAACGAAGGATTGAATGATGCCGACAGAATTGTCGAGCACTCTTATGGAGAAATGGCTTCTTTTTTAATTCTATCTTACCTTTAAGCACTTCCGCGGTATCTTCTCCGATGGCACCGAAAATATCCTCCATCGCAGCAATTAATGCAATTAATGTCCGGAATCACCGCGAAAAACACCTTGTATAATACTCGCACATCAGAATAAACACCGCCAAAACAAACGCAAACGAGGTTACGAACAAGTTTGACGTTTGGTTTTACACTGTTAATCATATCTAACACTTTTATGGAAATAACCATGAACATGATTAAATTTTACCCAGAAAAGACTAAAATTCAATCAAGTTTGATTAGTTTTTAGAAAGTCAGCATGATTAAACTGGGTATAATATTGAAATGATTACTTTTCAATCAAAATGTGATTTTTCCAATTTTTCAGTGTACCTAAGTCCCTTATTCTACCAAGCCTGAAAATGCATCCTGGTACACTTTTAGCCGAACTAGGTTGATTCTACTCAATTTAGTGCTTAGAGCAGTTTGCGGCTAGCGAGTGTTCATATAATCGAAAATCTTAATGACCACACGCGAAACCCCAATTGAAAGATGTCAAAGACCCCCAACCGGTTGCCAACAGAGTTTGCTGCCAAAAATGAAGCGGACACAAAACCGGTAGCAGAGAGGGCATCGGTGGCAATCTGTCACCTATAAATAACGTGCACTCCCGACAATAGCTTCACTCTGAGACACACCCAAGGAGAAGCCAAGCCATAAAAGCGTGTATAGATGTCAGAAGATGTTCCCAGCTGCCGTTTATATTTACGGTCCATCATTCCCCACCACCGGACCCAGTTCACCGTCGTTTTCCAACTCTCCAAATCTTGATCTCTAATTGTCTTCTTTGTAAAACCACATTGTCGAGAATTAATTTCATTCCGTTTCATTCAACCACGGACGCACGACACGATGACGACTCCTAGACGGGAGACGCAAATCGTAGCAACCTTCGCCATCTCCCAACCGACCATCCGGGAGAAAGATCACGTTCTAATGCCGCACGACCCACAGTCTTCTTCGATGGTTGCAGAGGAGGGAAAATTTATCGCTTCATTTGTCGCAACTCGAAGTTTTTGACGTTCATTTACGCAAAGGCTCCCGTGGGCGACAAATGTAAACAAAAAGAAAATCTAAAGAATCGCGGGTCACTATGATCAGCCGCAGAGGGAAAACTAGGTATACATATTAAAAATGAAAACTATTTTTATTCGTTTCGTTTGAGATGCGAGAAGCGCGGGTCTGTGGGGAATTTCATCGTGTTTCACTTTCCTATGTAGAAACGCACGTTATGGCCGTAAAGTCGGTATGCGTAATTAAATTGCTAACCGAGAACGAGAATGCCGTAATTTTTCTGTTCGTGGAAGAACCCATAGATACCAATCGGAATGGGATTAAAATGGGGTAGCAAACATTAGCACCCTATTGCCGGGGATGATATTCAAATGTAAATGCAGTAGTCCATTAATATTCTAATCCCAATCGCAGTCATAAGAAGCGAGAAATGCTAACTAGGGGATTTCCAGGGAATTTATTTTGCAGCTGAATGCAAGGTTCTTCTCACTACAATTCACTGTAATGTGCTGTGACTCAATCGGAATATACACACTCAATCTAGCCCGGTAAAATCTCCAACAGCCGATTACCTCGGTATTTGCTTTTGCTAATATATCTGCAAAATATATGTTTGTTAGCTGAGATCGCAGCAAAAATCTAATTTGTTAGCTTAGTCTCGGAAATTGCCCGCAAAATAAATAGCACACTAAGAAATTATTACCGACTTCGGTAATTTGCTACCGAACTTTCAACAGCTGAACGTTTGGTAAAACTTTGACACTCATTTCAAAAGCTGTATAACTAAATTTTAATTTCAAAACACTGTCAGCCATTGTGGTGAAATTTTCCTTATTTTAAAGCCTTAAAATTAATTAAGTAAAATACTTGATTTTTACCGAACAGTCAGCTGTTGGTAGTTCGGTAAAAATTACCGAAGTCGGTAATCATTTCTAAGTGTGTGCTTAGGCATAGGTTGCCGCAAAAGTTTGATTTCAATAAGCTCTTCTTTTACTTTTTACTTCGACCGTCTGCATTTCTTTGGATGCATTGTATTGAACAAACTTCAGACAACGAACAATTCCTAAATACCTCCCTGAATTATTGAATTCGGGTTAAGATCAAAGCATGCTCGCATTATTTGCATTGGTTGTTGATGTAGACGTTTGAAATATTAATTCCACACTAATATGACGTCGATGACAAACAAAAAGTTAAGTTGACATGCCATCGTACATCTATCACTAAGCCACCTATAGTCGGTAAGAAATCCAAACAATCTTTCGTAGCTTTCATTCATCAACTGCCGAGCGTTGTTCCCAAGTCTAGGACGCCTTTAATATATGCATCAAAAGTACATACCACCAGACTGGGAATAACCGGTTCGCAATCAGAACTCTCTGTCATTAGAAATTAATCACCTCTGATTTGACGGGAATGGAATTTAGCAATTTGGAATTCTACTATCCATATGCGCGTGCCGCACCAGCACGCAATGTAGAGTTCCGCTCCCACCGCCTACTGCGATGTCCATTCATTGCATTCCACAGATCTATCACCTAAATAGCAAGCGGGGCTTTCACTGTGAAACAATCAAAATCTCATTACTGACTGTTAGCAGTTCAAAGTGCAAAATCATGACTGCTATTTTTAGATTTACGGTGATTTCAATTTGCATTCCCGCCTTGAACAGAATCAGGGACTCCCTGGCCGTACGTTTAAAGCAAACTAATCAACAGTATGCATTCAGATCGTATCTGGTGCATGGTTTAATGCCTCATCGAGATAAAATCGCTCGCAAAAGCTGGTCGTGATCGTATGTGCTGCTTGTCGTGTTGCTGCGAGCGGCGGTGACTTACAGATGGATGCAATGATTTGCATTCTTGAGAAAACTGCAAATTACTGGGGAATACCGCAGAGCGTGTGTGTGTGTGTGTGTGTGTGTGTGAGAAACAGGTTATTTTTTTTACTGTGGCGGTGCATGCTTTGAAAGGTTTTCTCTCTGTCAGAAGAACGGCGATCCGGGTTAGGTTCGGTGAATAATAGTGAAAGGGGGATAGGACACCCACCTGTGGAGCCTGCACTCAGAGCGCCTTGCGGTCAACACTTGATGTGTGATCGTTTTGAGGCATCTGTTGCGAGTGGGATAACAGGCAAGGTGTCTTTAGAGACTAAAGGTTTTTAGGTTATGTTTGTTTTGTGAATTAAAAAAAAATCTAATTCCTTCTTCCTTCTACTTTGTTTCAGGTATCTATTTTGAACAAAATTACCTAGAGCTATAAAAATGTCCTTATCCAGACACGTAAGTATTTAAATTTCTTCGAAAATTTCTACTTATTTCAAAATCAGTATCCTTTGATTTTTTTTATAAATTAAAACAAATCTCGATGAACATTTCAATCAGTCTTGTCTGGAATGCACAGTGGTCCAGGAATGCAATCTAGCAACAAAATTAATAACTCTAAAACGTTTCCTTTTAGTGACGTTGTGTCTTCGGCAATGTTTTTGTTTGTATAAATATCGCCAATTTTGATCAAAAAAGAATTGTACGAAACTGCTATTCAATTTTTTTTTATTTATTCATTTGGGAGGTTCGGTGTCTTGAGCAAAGTTGTTTTTTAGTGAATACTATGAAGCTCTTACGAAGTCGTCAAAATTTTAGCTCCCTTAGTTAACAAGATATTTTTTTTTAGATTTAAGGTCTAAAATCAGTTTTTTACACTTTTTTTCTTATCAAAAGTATTAGTTATTATGTCGTATTTCAACATTGTCGAAGATACTGCCCTGTTTTGCCGTAACGTTTCAAATATATTTGACAAAAACCATTAAATTTGACAAAACTTTAAAAAATCATATCTACGTAATCGCACAAATCGCATCCTAGAATGTTCAGGGCTAATAATAGCATACTGGATATATATATAGACAATTTTAAAGGTAGAAACTCCTTGATGTATGGAAAATTTCGTGTAATTCAAGTTAATTTTAGAACAGATTTAATTTTTGTGTGTACTACTCAAAAAAGCTGAAGAAAACGCACTCCATTCAAATGAAAATAACGTGATTCCAGAACATTTCAATTGTATGTCTTAGTTTTGAGGTTACGTCGTAAATAATATTCGATTTAAGTACACTCGACTGTGTTTATACGCGATTTTCATGTATTACCACCATATTTATTATTCAATGGTTTTTTCCGGATTTTTTTAAACAAGTTGAATTAAATTTGGTTGCAATTTGATATCACACGATTAAAAATAGAGGCAGAAAAAAATCACGTAAAACATTTTCGTGATACAGAATGTCGATATTTTCTCCATTTCTGGGATACTAAATTTGGTTTATCCGCCGTATTGATCAATTTTCCACATTTGTTTGTAAGCATAAGCATGATAGCATGATAGTGGTTTACCACCCATTGTAGCACGGAAACTAAGTCCGATAGCAGTGGACTCTCTTCCCTGTTTGTCTTGATCAAGCTTAATAACCTCTTATTTTACCTTTTATGTGATATTTATCATCACAGAAGCCAACTTTGAATCGTAGACCAGGTCCATTCACAATACACTCGTTCCGGAAAGGGGCTCTATGGTACTACTCATCATGTATAGTCATCTTCTTCTTCAGGTTCGTTCACCACCCGGAATGAACGCTCGGTGCGGTTAGTAATATCTAATAGTGTTACATGAAAACGAAAAAGAGATACAAGCAGGATTCGTTTTTTGAAGTAAAAGTTTCATCTGAATACCCGACTAACCATATCGTATCTTAGTGACATTGTCTCACTCTTAACCTACATTTAAAGTTATTTTGTGATTATATGGTTACTTGGTTACTTACTCACATAAAATGTTGTGCAAGTACCACCAGTTCAATGACGCCCAACTATGGACAGTTCAATGCTATTGAATTAGCGAACACCAACATGATTAGCTGCTAGGAAACACCAAAGAATGTTTAGAGATAAAGCTAAAAATACAGTTTTAACTGTACTAACTATCAGTAATAAACATCAAGCAGTCCCATATTGGTCCCTGACAACCCACGGTGCATGG